ATCTTAAAAGCAGCAAGAGGAAAGGAGACAGTTACCTACAAAGGAGTTCCCATAAGACTATCAGCTGATTTCTCAAAAGAAACCTTGCAGGCAAGAAGGGGCTGGAAAGAAGTATTCAAAGTCATGCAAAGCAAGGACCTACATCCAAGATTACTCTATCCAGCAAAGCTATCATTTAGAATGGAAGGGCAGATAAAGTGCTTCCCAGATAAGGTCAAGTTAAAGGAGTTCTTCATCGCCAAGCCATTATTATATGAAATGTTAAAGGGACTTATCTAAGAAAAAGATTAAAAACTATCAATAGTGAAACAGAGGGGAGGGGAGGAGGAAGAATGGGAGAAAAGGTATAGAGAATAAGCAGCATAAATAGTAGGTACAAAACAGGCAGGGGGAGATTACCAATAGTATAGGAAACGGAGAAGCCAAAGAAGTTACATGTACAGCCTATGGACATGAGCTAAGGAGGCGGGATGTCGGGGTGGTGGGGAGGAATCCTGGTGGGAGGGGCAGTGCAGGGTGGAGGGGAATAAAGGGGAGAAAAAAAATGGGCAACTGTAATAGCATAATCAATAAAATATATTTTTAAAAATATAAAAAATAAAAGACACTACTTGTTTGAGAAAAAATAAAAAATAACCAATAAAAACTAAATAATTTAAAAATTAAAAATATACAAATATGTATTATCTGCACAAATCAGACAAGGCTTTCCTCTTCTTTATGAAATACAAGGGGCCATACCATCAACAGAACATCAGAAAGGTTAATACCTGAAGGGCAAACAAGAATTCATAGGGTATTTATCACCACAAAGTCATATTTTATATCTTAAAAATGATAAAGACTATTATTCATTCATTATTGGCCACCTACAGAAAACTAAGCTAAGTTGGGAGTATGAATAATAATATACATGTGTCCTGCCCTCCAAAAGCCTTACAGAAATCTAACTTCTCTTTTACAATATGGAATTAATAAAACGGTTTCAGGTTCAGAAAAGACTCTGTGAATACCTACTGATCATGTAACTAATACTAATACCAAAATTTAATCCAGTTGCTAACATCTTTTCAGAAATCTAACTATTTCTGCCACAGAATAGTATTTTGTCTTCAGGTTTTCATCACAATTCAAGATTTTACAACAGGATACTGGATGATCTAATGAAATTTACTGATACCCTCTATGGTTTCTGGGGTAAAAAATGGTCAACCACTTAGAGATAGCTTCAAAAGTGGAAAACCCTTCTCTATAAAATTATTTTTCAAAGATTTTATTTATTTATTTTTAGAGAGGGGGAAGGGAGAGGGAAAAGAGGGAAAGAAACATCGGTGTGCGAGAAAAACATCAACTGATCAATTGCCTCTCTCACACCCCCAACTGGAGCCTGGCCTGCAGCCCAGGCAGGTGCCCTGATGGGGAATAGAACCAGTGTCGGGACAATACCCAATTCAATGGAGCCACACCAGTCAGGGCCCCTATAAAATGGTTAGTAACCCATTCAACCACTCCCATCTCCGCTAGAGAAGGAGCTTGGTCCCCATTCATAACTCTAGCCTCCCAAGACTTGGAATCTCCTATTCAGTACAACCAGCACCAAGAGACACCAAACTAAAGAGTTAACCGATTTACACTGACACAATGTAAATAAGATCACTGTACTGCAGTGATTTTCAACGGGAGTGCCTGCAAGAATTTTTAAAACATGCAGTACCTGACTACATAGTCAGGGTCACTGATCTCTTTTCCCTTAGGCTGTCAAATAAAAAAATGACAACAGCCAACACAGCAATAGCTGTCCCGCATGAATGCCCTGTTTGAAGCACAAATATATATGCGTCATATAACAAGAGTTGCATCTTATTGGTCATGTCACATAACAAGGTTGTATCTGATTAGTTAACTCTTGGTACCAGAATTGCTTATATACAAATGTAGGCATCTAAATTTTAAAAAGTCACTTTGGAGCCCTGGCTGGGTAGCTCAGTTGTTTAAAGTGTCATCCTAATAAACCAAGGTTTCAGGTTCGATCTCAGGTCAGGCCACATACAAGAATTAACCAATAAATGCATAACTTAGGTCAAAAGTAATTCAATTTTTTTTCTCTTTCTCTCTCACTTTCTATCCCCCTCCTTTCCTCTAACAAAAAAAAAAATCAATAAATTAAAAAGTCACTTTGGAGTAGAAAGGGTAGGTGATTACTAATTTTTTTTTGGTAATTCAATCAAAATTACACCAATTTTTCTTGTCAGATCAACAGAATTTTAGTAATTAGTTTATGTGTGCCATGAGATGAAAAAGGCTGAATACCGCAGCTCTACTGAATTCTAATATACAGGGTCCGGCAGAAGTACACAAGTATTCAAGCTTGCTTGAATATGGTTGGTAGGGTAATAATACGGGTGTAAAAATTTAGTTTTAATTTGAACATTTCACCTACAATGTCATACGGTGTGCTTGAGTGTGATATTGTTACGTAACAGAATTACATGCTTATGATTTTGTAATAAAAAAGTGGTATTATTTGTGCCAGACCCTGTATATGTAATCAATTAAGACAGCTAAGATCTCAAGGCTGGGCCAAGGCCAGCTGAAAAATCTTTCTCAGAAACGCTGAATTTTGGTGCACTTGCTTAGGAAAGAATACTCTGTAGAAATAAAGTAATGATTTCCTAAACTGCAGATCCCTCTAATCTGTTCTTTTAGTTGCTCTAGGAAATAGAAAATCTATCAAGTGTTGAGTAGTTACCTGCAAGGCTCAGTGCTAAGAGCTTTGAAAGACTGTCTAATTTAATCCTGACATTTTCTGGAATAGACATCCATTTACAGATGAAAAAAAATGAAGCTAAGAGGGGTTTAAAAATCGACCCGAGTATTCTAGTCTTTTTGGTGCTATTATAAATGGGATTGTTTTCCTAATTTCTTTTTCATATAGTTCATTGTTTGTATATAGAAATGCAACTGATTTTTCTATGTTGATTTGCATACTGCAACTTTACTATATTTACTATTTCTAACAAGTTTTATGTTAAAATTTTTAGGGTTTTCTATATATAAGAACATGTCTGCACCCTGGCTAGTGTGGCTCAGTGGATTGAGTGCCAGCCTGCGAACCAAAGGGTCACCAGTTTGATTCCCAATCAGGGCCAGGTCCCCAGTAGGGTGCCTGTGAGAGGCAACTGCACAGTGATGTTTCTCTCCCTCTCCTTTTCCCTCCCTTCCCCCCTAAAAATAAATAAAATCTTTTTTAAAAATATCTGCAGAGATGATTTTACTTATTCCTTTCTATTTAAATGCCTTTTTTTCCTTGCCTAATTGCTCTAGCTACGATTTCTAGTACTAGGCTAAATAGAAGTGGCAAGAGTGGGCTTTCATGTCTTGTTCTTGATCACAATTAGATATTACTTCACACCTGTCAAGATAGTATTATCAAAAAAAGGAAAAAAAGACAAGTGTTAGTGAGGATGTGGAGAAATTAGAACTTTTGTACACTGTTGGTGGGAATGAAGAAATGATGTGGCTGCTAGGGGAAATAGTATGGAGCTTCCTCAAAAAATTGAAAATAGAACTACCATATGATCCAGCAATCCCACTTCTGGGTATTTACCCAAAAGTATTAAAATTGGGTTCTTGAAGAGTTATTAGCATTCCCGTGTACACTGAGCACAATTAAGAAGAGCCAAGCCCTGACTAGCGTGGCTCAGTTGGTTGGACAATGAACTGAAAAACAAAAGGTCACCAGTTCAATTGCCAGTCAGGGTGAGAGGCAGCTAGCCAATTTACGTTTCACACATCGACATTTCTCTCCCTCTTTTTCGTTCTCCCTTACCCTCTCTCTAAAAATAAATAAATAAAACCTTTAAAAACAAAAAAGCAATAAAAGGTCCTAACAAGTGCAGCTCAGTTGGTTGGGCATTGCCCTGCAAAGTGAAAAGTCACCAGTTTGATTCTGGCCAGCGCATGTGCCTGTGTTGCAGGCCAGGTTGCCAATCAGAGTATGTACAAGAGGCAATCAATGATGTTTCTCTCTCACACTGATGTTTTACTCCTTCTTTCTCCCTCCTTTCCCTTCTTTCTAAAATAAATGAATTTTTTTTTTAAACTAGCCAAGATGTAGAAACAATCTAAATGTCCATGGACAGATGAATGGATAAGTGAAATGTAGTAAACACATAGAATATTACTCAAATTTTAAAAAGAAAATTCTGCATATGTGAAGACATCATGCTAATTACAGAAAGCCTATTGCAGAAAGACAAGTATTACATTATATTATTTATGAGGTATCTAAAATAGTCAAAGTCATAAAATTAAAATAGTGGGATGGTGGTTGCCAGGGGCTGGAAGGATTGGGAAATGGGGAATTACTAACAAAGTTTCAGTTAAACAAGATGAATAAGCTCTTGAGATTTGCTATACGACATTGTAGCTACTGTCAAAATACTGTATTGTACACTTAAAAATTTGCTTAGCACATAGATCTCTTCAGTATTCTTACAATAAGATTTTCTTTAAAAAAAATAAGTTGGCCCAAAGATTCAAACCCATTTCTCACTGACACCCAAATCTTTGCTCTGACTTAACCACAAACACTGACTCTGAGCCCAGCAAAAAGTAACGACACAGTTCTCCCCAAATGCTGTGTGACGTTGGGGAATTCGCCTAACAGCTCTGGGCTTGAGATTCCTCGCCATCAGGATGAGTCTCAGCTTAAAGGCAGCCAGGCAAGCAGCGCTGCCACTACCAACTGGTCGGTTTGCAGCCAATGCCACGGATGGACCTCCAACGGGCATCAAGCACGGCCAAGGGGGCCCGACTGAAGCCCAGCGCCAGGCGGGACCACCGCGCCTCAGTCCCAGCAGACGCCAAGAGTGCGAAGTATCGTGGGAGGATTGCACAGAGTCCGGCTCTGTTAGGTCATCATGACCCAAAGGAAAGGCGTCAGTGCGACCAGCCCACGGCCTCGTTTCCTAGGCAGCTGGACCAAAAACTCGGCTCACCTCCGGCCAGATTCGCGAGCTGGCACCTCCCCTTCACTCTGCGCCTCAGTCGCCATCTTAGTCAGCAAACTTCTTTCACCGCCCGGCCCCGCCCCCACGCCTTTGGATTGGCTAAGGTGATTCCCCCTCTTCCATACGATTGGATAACTTGACCGCCCCTTCTAAAGCAGAACAGTTTCATTATATTATTGGTCTATTCAAATCACTAACCGTCATTGGTCTCCTCCTGCCCTGGCGGAATAGAGATGAATTGGGGCGGGGAGGAGCCAGCCCGGAGGCCTGCCAGGAATTGCAGTTTTTCGTTTTGATTAACCCTTGGGGCTGTACCGATTTTTAGGTTCAAGTCAGATATTGATAGTCTATGCTCAAATTTCGTCCAGACTGTCGAATTTAAAAGTCATTCTCCAAAATGCAAGATTTCGTTTTCTGTCTTTACACGGAGAAAACAACCTAGAAGGGTAGGTACAGTGTGGCAACCAAGAAGTGTATACTATTAAATTTAGTTCACATCCTTCTTTCTGCAGATAGTCACACACAGCGTAGCAGTAGGTTCCAACTGCTCCCTTCTGGCCTCCCAGAGATCCAACAGAGTTTGCATCCCAAGACTGAATCATGGAACGAAAACCTGCAAAACTTTGTCCCTGACTGAGCTTTAATCCTCCATGGCAAAATAACCATAATTATGCTTGCCCTCCTTGCCTCAGGGGCTTCTGCTGAATATTAACTGGAGCAACAGATATGAAACTTTGTAAACTTAAAGCATTTTTTTTTCTATATTCTCTTTTTACGCTAGATTTTTCTAGGAATATTTTTTTCTATTGCTCCTTCTGACATCCTTTGACCTGAGGTTCTCCCAGCCCTCCCCTCTTTCACTAAGCTCTACCCACATGTTTCAGTTTCCCAACAAACTCTTCCTGCCTCAGAGCCTTTGCCCCATGTTGCCTGTAGTGGCTAACCCAATTTTTACTCAATTATCTTTCAGTTCTCAGCTTAAATGTCACTGGTTCAAATGCCTTCCATGGCCCCCCATGTATAAATCAGCTCCCCTGCTAAACTTTCACATAGCACTCTGTATTCATCCTTCATAGTTCTTGTCACAATTTATAATTTTATAGTTGTTGTGTGATCATTTGTTTCATGTGAAGTTTCCCAGCTGGACTCCCTGCCACAAGTGAGCAGAGACTACATCTATTGTGTTCACCAGGACCTCTTGCACATGGTGGACTTTCGTAGATATCTTTTGAACAAATTTGGGGTGGGGAGGGTTTGCCTTTTTTTATTTTTCAATTACAGTTGACATTCAGTATTATTTTATATTAGTTTCTGGTGTACAAATGGTTAGATAATTATATAATTTATGAAGTGAGTCCCCCTGATAATTCTAGCACCCACCTGGTACCATACATATTTATTATAATATTTTTTACTATATTCCCTATATTGTACTTTACATCCCCATGATCTTTTTAACAAATTAACAGACAAGTCCTTAGACTATATTATCCAAGCCAAAAATTGACTCACATGTTCTAATAGATTATTTCAATTGATGAGAATTCATATTAAAATTTGATAAAAGTATCAAATGCTGAAAACTACATAATTTTATTAACCAATGTCACCCCAATAAATTCAATTTTAAAAAAGTAAAAAAAATTGATAAAAGTATCAAATAAAATTGCATTTAGTTTTATGTTTAACAAATTGTTTTTATTGAACAAATACATGAAAAGAAACACTAAATTCAACAAACATGTACCAGTGAAATTTTTCATTGAACCCCAATAGCCTTGGAAAACCCAGCCTCATAATTTACATATCTATGTAATTTACATACACACACGCACAATGCCGGGAACCAAAGCCTCAAATTCTGCTCTTTCCTCAAAGTAGAAACAAAGTTGTTGTTTTTTTTTTTCCTGCTCCATGACGCCCAGCACATCAATTGATTGACTAATTGAATTAAATTGATGCTTTCACTCAAGAAAATATTCAAAACTTTAAAGTATTACCACAACTAGGAAGACCACCACACAACTATATTTTTAGTTCATCTGTTCTGATGCCATATGAAAGGAGACCTCCCAAAAACAGAATCTATTTATAAAAAAAGTATGTATTAATTCTTTCATGTTTAAATTTCAGCCACCTTCAAAGCACTCTCCATTTGATGCAATATACATATCGAGACTTTTTTTCCACTGCTCAAAACAGTTTTTGAACTCATCGATTCTGATGCCTTTTACTGCTTACGTCATTTTTTGTTTCACCTTTTCCACATCAGCAAAACCTTTCCCTTTGAGGACTTTTTCCATCGGGGAAACAAAAGAAAGTCACTTCAGTGGAGATCTGAGATGGGTGAATAGGGAGGGTGGAGCACTGGGGTTATGCGACTTTTGGTCAAAAACTGCTGAACACTCAGTGCGGCGTGGGCAGGTGCACTGGTAAATTATCCATCATGAAATGGGCAAATGCCTTGAAAGAGTCTTCAAAAAAAAATTCACTGAAGCCAAACACAGCCTCTCACAACAACTCGAGCTGGACCACTGATACAGACAGGTTCCTAGAGCACTCGCCTAGCAGGGGAAGCCTGTACTATAAGGGGCCCACCCTCTAGGAGATAATTCCAGAGTTTTTTGGGGGTCTCCCCTCGTATACAGTGTTTGGGGAAATACAGCACAGTAGTTAAGAGCAGGGCTCTGGAGCTCGAGAGCCTAGGTTGAAATCCTAACTCTATCACTTCTAGCTATGTGACCCCAGGCAAGTGACTTAACTTTCTGATTTCATTTTGTTTTCTACAAAATCAAGATAGTAATAATTCTCACAGGGGTATTGTGAAAATTAAATGAGATAATCTCTATAAAGCTGCTTAACAGCAGTGTCTGACACATACCAAGACTAGATAAGTGTTCATGTTATATGATGAATATTAAGAATGCTAAACACCCACTCTGGCCAGTGTGACTTGGTTGGAGTGACATTCTCTAATGGAAACGTTGTGAGTTTGCTTTCCAGTCAGGGCACATATCTTAGGCTGCAGGGTCAATCGCTGATCCAGGCACATCCAGGAGGCAACTGATCCATGTTTTTCTCCCTCACATTACATTGATGTTCCTCTCTCTCCCTTCTTCCCTTCCTCTTTCCCTTCCTTTCTAAAAGCTGTGAAAAAAAAAAGTCCTCAAGTGAGGATAAAAAATTAAAAATAAAAAAATAAGGAGTGCTAAACTCCCTTCTTACATTAGACTTCTATGTCCATTGCTATGTGATAAGGACCCTACATTACCCTTGTAGTTACAGTTTAATCAGTTACTCTGGAGAGGGGGGTGTTTCTCCTCAAAACCAACGGTTCTCCTGTGACTTCTGATTAAAAGGAGTAACATTGCTGAGTGCCCTAAATTTACACACACCCCAGCTGACAAAACCACACGCTCTGGTTCTGCAAGGGTGTCTCAGCTCCCCTGAAACCATCCTGACTCCCACTAGGCACTATTTGTCAGCCTGGTGATAGGCATGGCTGTACAGAAGGAATTCATGAAAGTTCAGAAAGTCATCTTGTTTGTAACTACCTGGCTGAACAAAAGGTCACAGAGAAGTGGCCCCAGCCCTCAAGGAGTTTTTTAATAGACTTGGGAGACAAAATGGACACCTAAGTCACATACAAGGGAAGACAGTTTAAAACTGTGGAGGGCTAAATATCAAAGTAGGGAGCAGGCTCCTAGGAATTCAGAAGGGTGGAGAAGGGAAGAAGGGCCAGGGCTCTCAGGGATGGTTTAAGAGCAACGGCGTGGATTTCAGTCCGCCACACCGGTCACACTGCAGGTCCATCTACCTACCAAGACAGACTTCAAGCTTTGGGGACAGAGGTAGTGTTCTAATCATCTTTGTGTTTCTTGGCCCTATCCTCGATGGAGGGGGGAAAAGGGAAGAAATCGGGAGAGAAGTAGAAGAAAGGACAAAATGAAGGAAAGCCAGAAAAGGAGGACCTGCCCATGACCCCCACCCCAACATCATGCTCTCCACCTCTCCCTCTGACCACGCCTCCAACAATGCAAGTGACTTGCAGTCGGAGGACTCGTTCTGTTTTCCACTTTTTTTCTTGCTGTTTCCTCTGCTTAAATTAAAACAGGATAGTTTGACGCCCGCACCAAAATATAAAATTATCATGTGCACAATGAGCATTTCTGAACCTTGCACTGAGACTGATTAGGAATGCGGCGAGGGTGCCTACTGAACATTTTTTTTTAAAGACTAAAAACTTAATAGTTCATTATCTTGTCAAAATGGCCAATAGGCCCACCAAAATATCACTTCCTCACATGTAATATCCACTTCCCCTTTCTTTGCCAGCTAACTTGTGTTTGTTATGTTGAAGTCTTTGAAATCATCATTTTAATGACTTTCTCATCATCTGTTAATACTGAGGTCTGTGCTCACTTCGGCAGCACATATATTGAGATTAGTGATATCTTGCTTTTTCCAACAGCATGGATGGACCCGGAGATTATTATGCTAAGTGAAATAAGCCCAGATGAAAGACAAATACCATATGATCTCACCTATATGTAGAATTTAGTGAACAAAATAGAGTCAGAGGCATGAACACATAGAACAGACAGACAGGTGTTGGGGGGAGGGGGACTAGAAGGAAGAAGGTGAAGGGATTAGCCCAAGAACACATATGCATGACCCATAGACACAGACAACAGTGTGGTGACGGCCAGAGGGAAGGGGGGCGGGGAGGAGGGAGCTGGGTGGAAGTGGGCAAAGGGGGGGTAAAATGGGCACATCCGTAATAGTGATGACAATGAAAAGAGGAAAAATATAAAAAATAAAATAAATGATTACAGAGGGAAAAGAAGAAAAATTATTTAGCTCTTTTATGTTTGTATTGTTTAATTACACAAGTAATACACGAAGGCATTTTCCTTGTTAAAAAAAATTTTAATTGACCAGCATAGCTCAGTTGGTTGAGCATCTTCCTGCAAAGTGGAAGGTTGCCAGTCTGATTCCTGTTCAGGACACAGGCCTGGACTGAAGGCCAGGTCCCCAGCTCGGGGCACGTGA